ATAACTCTTTCCCAATCTATATTCTCTCTCCCCATTTCCCGCATATACAAAGAGCATACCTACTTTAATTTCTTTTGCTTTTCTTCTCCACTAACGAAAAAAGACTCACCCTTTTGCTTTTGCTTGTTTTTGGATTGTTGTAGATCCAAAAGAGATAAAGATAAAGATGATCCAAGAGCTGTTGGATGGTGCTAGTGCTAGTGTCATAGCAGGAGAAAGGAAAATCTCCATTAATGAAGGAAGAGGACTTCTTCTAACACCACCTACATCATCATCTCTTTCTTCCACAATAACTATCGCCACTACCACCGTTACTGCCACCACTACCACCGTCACTTCCTCGAGTTCAGAGAACCAGAACTTGAGGTGTCCCCGTTGTGATTCATCAAACACGAAGTTTTGTTACTACAACAACTACAACCTCACTCAGCCTCGCCACTTCTGCAAGACATGCCGTCGTTACTGGACCAAAGGTGGTGCTCTCAGGAATGTTCCCATCGGAGGTGGCTGCCGGAAAAACAAGAGCTCCGCCGCTGGCATGTCCAACTCGTTGGCGGCAAAGCAAACCGCCTCAAAGATGAAAGCGGTAGCATCAGAGTTTGGAAGGTCACCAGGATTCTTCGACCAAGAGCTTCCACAAACCCCAATCCTGTGGGGTTCACCGCAAAACACTCAACTGATGGCTTTACTAAGAGCTTCACAAAACCAAAATCAAAACCCTAACCCTAACCCTAGTCCCATGTCAATTGCTGTCAAAGAAGAAGGGAACTTAATGGGATCCCAGTCCCACATGATGACTGAGCCATTAAATGGGTTGATGAATCCTAGAACACTAGGCTATGATGGTGTTGGAGAATTTCCTTCACTTGGTCTATGCAGCTCTTTTTGGAGGAACAATCAAGATCAAAATCAACACCAAAACAACGGTTTTGTACTTGGAGAACATCAAAGTAGTGGAGTTCAAGAACTTTTCCACAAGCTCAGATCCTCTTCATCTGTTAATTATTGCTGCAGTGATAACTCACCAGTGTTTCTGGACAACGTGGCTTCTTCATCTTCTTTGTCCAACATTTTGGAGTCATCTTCAGTTTCTGCGAGTGAATTCGGGTGCTGGAATATTCCAACCCATTCCTGGTCAGATCTTCCCACAACCCATGGAGTATATCCTTAATTAACCACAATAACTAATTTCCTCTTTTTTGTTCACTGTTCAAAATTTCTTTTCACGCTAGATATATAGAACTCCTTAATTTATAGTTTATAGGTGTTAATCTGTATTTTAGAGTCTTCTATTTTGTGTTTGTTTGGTTGTTTTAGGGTGGATAATTTAAGAATATGTACGTGTAGGTAGCATTAGATTTTTTATCTAGCGTCTTTCTATATTCTGTATTTTGGTTAATGGTGTTGGTGGTGTGTTTAGCTTAATTCCCTCAAATGGTATTTCAAGAACTACCAGAGTTTGAAATGAATGGAAACATAACGTTTCTTAATTGCTTATTAGTGTTTCTGCATCTTTGCATTGTATTTCTTTTTCTACTTTGTTTTTCCTTTCTTTACTTTGCTCTCTCAAGTTTCTAATACAAATTCCAGCTTCTAAGACTATATGTTAGTGGCTATAAGAGGTGAGGGTCCTCTATAGAATAAATTAAAATATTTATAATAGTAAGCATCATCAGAAAATGCAAAGATTTAGGGTGTGTTGACGTTATATCAAAGGTAACAGTCAACCTCTAATTTTATAAGAGACTAAAAAATTGAGTAAAGCTGGTCTACAATAATATATGATCTTGGTAAACTAAAAAACTTTAGGGTTTAGGTGTTAAGAAGTGAAGGTGGTGGAGGCATGGTGGGCAGCATATGCTAGTGAAAGATTTTGTTTTGTTACGAGAAATCCATCGATGAATCTAATGCAAAAGCAGCCTTAGGAAAAAGTTTCCTCAAACAGCACTAGATTCTTCATGTTGCTTGTGAGCAATATCCACCAGCAGTTGGTTCTTGGCACAAACTTCACTGACTTTTTTTTTCTTTGATTAAGTAACACAAATTAACTTGTGTTGATCATTTTTAGTACTTTTTAATTTTTTTCCGTCATTGGACTAAATTTATTTACTTATTCCATTAATTAATTGTATTAAAAGGAGAAAAAAAAACCTCTCCTTTCGCACATGTATCACACACAACACAATTTTCTTCTGGAGCTAGCTAGTAGCTATCTGCCTATCTCATCATGCATTTTAGTACAACGAGTAATATTATGAGTCTATCTAACCAATTGAGAATCGAGAAAGTGACGCTATAACTATACGGTTCTGTAAGAAAATTTCAAGAAGTTAATCGTAACCAATCACAGATAATATTCTGTGTTAATGATATGGGCATAAAAACTTATTCATCAATCATGTTTGAGAAAACAAAAGGTGAGAATTCGTTTTTTTTTTTTTATAACTAAAAGGCACTCTCGAATTGAGAATCATCACATGCAGTTTTATAAAAATACGTAAAGTATGATCGAGTAAACTTCTCTAAATATTTTTATAAAGGAAAAATAAGAAAAAAAAATGTAACAGTTTTTTTATAAATTAAAATTAATTTATTAATTTATAAACTATTTTGTAAAAAAAATCTACGAGCTTCACTTAAATTTTATTTTTAACTCATAAGTAGATTAATTTTAGTTTATAGAGAAATTTGTGTTAAAAAAAATTTTGTGTCCAAAATGTACTGAAATTCTTATTCATACATACCCGTAAAACAAATGGTCAGCGGGTATTTTGAATTCTTTAATTGAGAAACGAGCAGCACGAAATTTTGTTGCACGAATTAACTTAGCAAAAATATTTCGCAAAGATATATATCTTACAAACACCTATTTCACATCTTTCATTTTTTTTCTTTATTTCTCTATTGCGTCATATTTCATGTTATATCTATCATTTCTTACTAATTAGCATCTTATTTTTATTACTTAATTAAAATATGAAGACGTGCGATATAAGTAATTGTTTCGTGATACACATACGATATCACATTGGAAAGAAGAGAAATATTCTTTTTAAATCTACTTTACACTCTTAAATCCCCTTTACCGGGATTAAATTGTCGAGTCAACAAAAATTTTAATTAAGAAAAACTATTTAACATGTGAAGGTTGTGAAAACATATAACAAAAGTTCAAGTGGAATTAGTAGGTAAAGGTATTCATAAACTAAGAGCGTTTCTAACTGTAATCCCATGAGTCAAACTCATCATTTAACTTAACAAAAAATATATATTCATTCTATGTATTAAATATTAACGATTATTTTATATCAAAGTGTTTTAGAAGTTATTTTTTAACGGAATCATTTTGAAAAATTTATGTTTTATTTAATTTAATTTTTAATTTATTATATATTTATGAATAAAATTTTAATTTATTAAAATCAATTTAATAAAATTAAAAAATAATATTTTAAAGTAATATAAATATTTATTTTAAATTTTAAATATAATTTATATATTAAAATATAATATTTATTTTTATATAATTTATTGTAAATTTTAATTATATGTAATAAATAATTATCCTGTCAAGCGTAGATGCTAAAATAATAGTTTATAAAAATCGCCTAAAAGTTTAACCCATGATTACAATTTACAAACACGCATATCAGACGAGTCATGTTAAAGAGATTAATTTTGACATATATTGATGAAGTGGTCACCCAGATGCAACAAATCCATAACTTTTTTTCACAACTTAAACAGGTTTTTCATTGTCATCTATGTCAAGGATGTGATTGATGAGCATATTAAAAGCCACACTTTTTTTTTTTTAAATGAGATTTAATTTAAATTGGAGAATATTAAGAAAGGAAATTAATGAAAGCTTAGGGATGACAATCGACAAAAAAAAAAAAAAAAAACGGTTTTGAAAATTCAAAAATTTTGTTTATTTTTTTTTAACTATGATAAGTCCAACATAATTTATTTGATATTCAAAGTAAGAATTTAAACTTTAAACATTTTAATTAAAGGATAAAAATATCTACTATTTGTGTTAACCTGTTAACTTTACTTAAGTACAGTAAGACAAAATATATGAAATGCAGGTGGGGTAAGAGGTACAAAAATCTTAATTTAGAGATAAAATTTAAATAAATTTGAATACACTTTTTTATTTATGTAATTAATATACTATTTTTTAGTTTTAGTCCTTATATTTTTTTTATTTTAGTTCTCGTAATATATATATATTTATTTATAATATGTGAATTTTCTGTTTTTAATTCCTACTATTTTTCAAAGAAATTTATTCAAAAATGTATAAGTCAATTCCTATATATTAAATATAAAATCTTTCTTTTGTGCAAAAGTATTTTTTAGGGAGTATTCTTTAATAAGAGAGTTTTTAAGGATTTTTTTAACTTATCTGCTTCATAATTATTTGTAAATTAAATATTAATATTTTTAAAATAAATTAATAATAATTTTTTTATTATACTAATTATTTAATATTTTTAAAATAAATTATAATACAATATAAATAATATTATGCTATAATATAAATTATTTATCATAAATCTTAAATATAATTTATATATTTAAAATTATCTAATTATACAAATTTTAAATATATTTTATATATTCAAACATAATATTTATTTGTATATTTTATTTATTATAAAATTTAATACATATAATAAATATTTAGCTCATGCATTACACAAACTAAAATATTAATATTAATAGGAACTAAAACAAAAATAAATATATTACAAAGATCAACATAAAATAATAAAGATAAATAAATAAATAAAATTTACCAGAACTATTTTAAGAATTAATTTCATAAGGACCAAATTAAAAGAGAAAGAGAGTATTATAGGAATGAAAATATATTTAAACCATTTAAATAATATATACTTCATCTGACAAGTGAAATTATTTTTTTATTCATCATAATTACTACAGCAATATCAAAGTTTGAATCTAACATCTTATACTATTCCAACACCCACCTTAAGTACATATGCCAATGGATGTGTTTGCAAGAGAGAACCCTCCGTATTGAGATTGTGTCTTCACCTTTTATTTCATGTTTGATTCTTTATTGAAATCACGTTCAATGTAAATCCACCAAGTCATTGTTTTTACGTTTAATTGATTTGGAAAATACACCAAGAGAAAACCAGACACACTATTAAACTCATGGAAAGAAGGGTAGTAATGTGGTATTGTTTCCCACCTTGGAATTTTTGTAATCCGTTTCCCATCCCATCCTAGCTAGCACTAGCAGTACCAATTCTAGTCAAATTTGGGCCTACAGGCAATGGACCGAAAGCCTTATTAAAGGATCCAGGATGCATAGTGAAGAGTGGCCCTAAATATTGAGAACAACAACACATGTAAAACAATTAGATACAAATAACGGTAATTACTTATTACACACCACCATTTATTCCTAACTCAAGCCCTTGTTTATGATGAAAATTGTAAATTGTGGAATAGTACCACTGGCCATGTGATGAGGAAAGGTTCATCAATTTTGTTAATGACATTCACATAATCACACGGATATGATCCTTAGTGACGGCCTCAATTGTAGGACATGATGATTGGCCAATAATAAGAATGTTCACTGAGGAAGTAAATAAATATTATTATACCCTTTGTTTTAGTATGAAAGAAAAGTATTGTAAACAAAGAAAAAATAATAACGATCAACCTCTTCAGGAACACCAAAAGAAATAGTTCCATCTGTAAAACAAACAAGGGTCTACTGCAAATGAATTAATAATAATAAAAGGCTCTCCCAAACCAAATCAGCACAAAATCTTCTAATCTAATGATTATAATTTCTTAATGTGCAATTCAGTGGTAGGTATTCTATTGATCTGGCAACCTGACCTCCCATTTAATTTATTTTAAGTATTAGCGCAAGGTGTTTTTACCCTGACAATAATAAGGTACTTTCAGTTTCGATCCTAATACTGAACGTTAAAACTCAGTTTGTTAGTTGATCAAGTTTAAATGAATTAAACCTAACCTGATTTCTTCACAACTTATAACTAAATAATTATGACATCAATTGTTAACACATAAACCAGCAATGAAAAATGAATACAACATTTCTTAAATGTACGCAAAACTATCCGAAATTTGGAGAAATTGACTTCTCCCTCTATATAAAGAAAAAGGAAAAAAATTATAGTTGTAGTCAAACCCTCATGACTATAAAATACACCAATAAATAGGAGGTTGATAGTTGATTATATACTAAGGGTGATGTCCAACAGCTTTGCCACAAAGCAGAACATTATTGGGAATGTCATATTCATTAGCAAGGCTGTGCTGTGCATTCCACACCCTAAGGTAAAACTGTTGCCCCAGATATTGCCTTTCCCATATTGCAGACCTTAAGTTCCACATGCCTTGGTTATCCAAAGATACATATATAGCAGTCCAGGATTTTGGATAAACCTACATTCATTTCAAGCACACCAGCTATGCATGTCAGAAAGAAACAAACAAATAGCCACGTTCTATAAATTATTATAAGTGTTTCTAAAGAAATGTCAACATAAGGAATAGGGAACTATCTTGTTTAGTTACCTGTGCAGTGTGTCTTGTCAGGGCATCCACTAGATTATAGGTTTTTCTACTGGCATCTGTCCACTGGCCAAAACCATGACTGCAATTGTGGCAATGAACATCATTAATAGGCTAATTCTAAATTGCTTCTACCAATAAAAAGTAAATCATCAATTTAGTTTCTGAAGTAACACCCTTTTTCCTAATATAGTCCATTTAATCCCTACTATGATATATTTTACTAATGATGAGGGACTAATTTGAAGGGTTTTTCAATACTTAAAGATCATGTAACATTATTTCTAATACTTTAAAAACTGTTTATATAATTTTGTTACTTACTAATTAGGAGAGGGAGTAATAGTTTAAGGACTAAATTGATAGTTTAATCATAAAAATATAGATTGATGGAAACAAAACTTATGAATAAGGAAGCTGACTTACCCGATGACCCAAAAATCGTAGCCATCAAGATGCCAAGATTGCATGGTGTTTTCGTTGTTCTGGAAAATAACCTCAATAAAATCATGGAGAGAAGTTTGCAACACTGAGGTGCCTATGTATCCAGGACCATTAGTGGGAGAGTTTTGAAGTAAATTCACACTGAAGATTCCGGGAATGTTGAAGTAATCAGCAAGCTTGAGAGGGGTATCGGGATTAAGATAGGAAACACTGTTAACAGCATAACGGAGCTTTCCATTAATCAAAGGTGCTGAATTGGCCAATTTAATTACTTTTGTAGGAGTAATCTTCCCATAATGGAATGACCCTTGTGGGTTAGGCCTAGCAGCATTTGCTGTCAGATTCCATCTGTAGGAATAATTAATTGAAAACAGATTAGAATCTATAAATAAATCAAAGCCAACTTAGAAAGGCTTTTTTTAATAATTTTTTTAGTGATCTCACCTATAGGTTCTAGCTTGCTTCATAGACCAGTCATAGTCATATTTACCAACTGGGGGAGCAGGCACGGGTCCTGATGCAGAGGAAAAGGAGTTTGAATAGTGTAGTACTGCAGTTGTAGTAAGTGGTGTCTCGGTAAATCTTGTTGAGGCAACAATGTAGTAGTCCTTTGGAGGCTGATTTAAGGTTACTAACACAGCAACTGATTGGCCAACATGCACATCAAGTGAATCATATAGGTTCTGAAGAGTGTGTGATCCTTCAACCTCAACTAATTTTAGGGTATGACCTTGAATTCTGAAGTTAATTGAGGTTGACAAGCCTACATTTGAGATCCTAAACATATAGGTTTTCCCTGAAAGAGAAGTGCAGATACTGTTGTCAGAAGCAATTTTAACAAAAGTAATGTATGGCTTAGACTTTGCACTTATTTGAACTATATCCTTTAAAAAACACAGGCTTACCCTGGTTACCGGTGAAGGTAGAATGAGGCTGGCCATTAATAAGGAGGCCATCAGGAAATGCAAGAGGTTTTCCTGAATCTAAAGTTTGCCTTAGTGTCTGCAAACAATAAGACAAAATGAATGAAGATAGAATGACAAGAAACAATAGGAACTTTAGTTTTCACTCCAATCTCAGATTTATGGAGGCAATTTTTTAAGCATGAAGGTATATTTTGAAATAGTATGTTCATGAGAAACAGTAAAAATAAAAAATTTTGTTTACCTTGTGGCTGGTCTTGTACCAATCACCAATGAGTAAAGTAAAATCTCCATCAGGGTTTGGGTAAGGGATTGGAATGACAGATCTATGATAAACATTGAGTCCTCCAAACCCTCCTGATGCTTTATGCAGTTGAGTTGATGGAAAGTATGTATATGTGCCAATCTGATCCTTGGCCTGAAACTTGTAAGTGTAATTTGAGTTTGGAGGAATGGGGCAGTTGGTTCCCAAAACTCCATCTTGCCATGAATTCTTCCTTTGTTTAATACCGTTCCTGTTTTATGATAACATTGTTAAACCGTGTCCTCAAAGAAAATCTCACAAGAAGATAGCATTAACAAGAACAGAAATTACAAATCTGTTTGTATGCTATTACCCAACATTTTGAAGCAAGGTGAGAAATTAAAAACAAAGTTTGATAAAGGACGACAGATATCTTAGAAATCTAGTGGACAGCAAAGCATCTCTTCTGGCTCCTTTAGGTAAATATGTCTTCTCTTTTTATAAATCTTAGGATATACCGTCAATGTAGAGAAAGATAAAACCACTATTGCTACAAAAAGTTGAAGCAACGAGACGATATTTGTGGAAGCTAAACAGAAAATGCTCCACATTACACAAATGACACCCTTTTTGTCCAACTCCGCCCATCCAAAATGTTGAAATGATGAGATCTATCACGATTAAGCAGCTAGAGACCACAGATTGCCATAAGTTTCAATCGGACAAATGAAAATGCATAGAAAGAAAACACAAGTTGATATATGCACAGAAGGGAGTGAATGCAGATTGCAGACCATAAAGCACATAATTCAAGTGAAGCAAGAGACACATAGAAGCATACCAAGTGAGTAGAAAAGGCTCATCCAGCTTGTTGATGAGGTTGAGAATTACATTGTCATTAGTTACCAAGTCAAGTCTAGGGCCAGGAAACTGACCATTGATAAGAATAACCTTCAAAAAACAAACACCAAAAACGTCAGAATTACTGAATCAGAGTTCCAAAGATATCTTAGATCCAACAAAAGCAGATTGGCAATTCACCTGCTGGGGACTACCCAGTGGAGAAATAGTCCCATAAGTCACCGTCCATGTGTAATACTTATATGCATCTTCTGCTTGTACAACAGACACACTCACTAAAGCAATAACAAGGCATAGCAAATGTAGCAAACTAGTGCTTCCCATATTGCCCACTGAAAAAGAAAAACACTATCATTATTTCACAGTTCAAACATCACTTAAGAGAAAATGAAAACAATGCTAGGAACTATGAACTGAAAATGAAACATTGTCATTGAGTTTCCACAAAAGGAAGCAATTTGGAAATGGAAACTACCAGATCTGGGTTCTGCAGGAAGAGTGACTCACTTACACCCACTTAGGTCAGTGCCGACTTTATATATAAAATAAAAACATGGAGAAACAAAAAATGATTGAACTAACCAATTGAGAGTTATTTTAATAATAAAGTGAGGATTTTGTTTGTTTAATAAGGTTGCAAATTGATCAGTCATATTCGGCGCGGTTAACTTAACGCGTTTCCGCGTTAGTTTGGAGTTGCTTCCAGCTAAAGAAAATACCATGTCACTGCCTCCTAGGATTTATCAATTATGGCGTCCCATTATTAAAATCAAACTTTCTTCCATACTTTCTCTCTCTCTTTCCCCCGTTGCGGTTTTAAGTTTTTCACTCGCTAACGTAACGTATGTAGTTTTTCAACCGTGTTCTAAACTCGGTACCTTCCCATTAGGGATGGCAACGGGGCGGGGCGGGTACGGGTTTCATGATACCCGTCCCCGTCCCCGCAAGTAAAACTCATCCCCATCCCCGTCCCCATACCCGTCGGGTATGGATTTTCATTCCCATTCCCGTCCCCGTCGGGTATCGGGTATACCCGTACCCGTACCCGTACCCGTACCCGTCAATTTTTTTATTTTTTTAAAAAAATAATATTTTTAAATTATTTTTTTTATTATATTATAATTATAATTAGGTTATTTTTTTATCTCACATTATAATAAATAATCATACATAAAAAAATATTAAATTTTTTTAATATAATTAAATTAAAAGTGAATATTAAATTAAAAATGAGAACGGGACGGGTACGGGTACGGGTACGGGGCGGGTAAGTACATACCCGTACTCGTACCCGTACTCGATTCAATATATCGGATTTTACCCGTACCCGTACCCGTACCCGGTCAAACCGGGTATTCCCCATCAAAGTCAGGACGGGTACGGGTATATTTGTCATCCCTACTTCCCATGTACAAGGAAACACGCTTCTACCCTTGCGAACATAGACGAATCGCAAAATTTTCTACCGAGTGTGTACCCATCTTTAATGCAATAAATAAATAAACAAATAAAAATTAGCATAAACTATGTAACAACTAATAATATAGATGTCAAGTAATTAAAGTGATTAACCAATTGTCAAAGGGGAAAAGCAGCACCGACAAGATTATTGTTTTGAATTTTGTTAGGTGTAGTTTGACAAAGATGCATTTTTTATTTATAGAATTTAATAAATACATCAAACTACGTCCATGTGATGTTAATAATATTTTTTTAGCCGTTTTAATTTAAAATGAAACTTATACTTACGTATTATAATTATATTTTATTTATATTTTATATATAGTTTAAATATTAAGAACTTATAAACAAATGTTATGCTTTTAATTTTAATGAGTATTGTAAAGTTATAATATTATATTTTTAATATTATTTTTAGATTATTTAATTATTGGTATTACTAATCTCACCCTATTCAACATAAATTTAATCATTAAAATTTAAAACTTAAAGCGGTGCCTAGATGAGTTGAATGGCCGCTACATTTTAAAAACACTTGGTTACACTTACATTACATGTTCTTAGGTCTATTGCCCCCACCTACGCTATATTCAAAGGATAATATGATGGATGAAATGAAAAATGGAAGAAAGGTGGTCCAGGCCCACTAAGGATGGGGCACACATATGACGAGACATCCAACAAAATTTTACACCACTTTTTTTCCCCGCAATTTGCGTCAATTTTTACAATTTTTAAAGATTAAATTGTAATTTCCATCTCTCAATAATATTTAATTTGTAATATTGATACATTTATTTTTAATTTCTCAATTTTATACGGTCTATAATTTTGATTTTACTTCATTTATTGATTATTAAAATTATAATAATGTTGATCATAACTTGACATTAAATAAATGATATAATAATTAATATTTAATACATTTAGATTAAATTATGCTTTTAACTTCTATTATTATCTCATTTTTATTATGTTATACCATTTTTATGAGATAAAAATAGATTAAAAGTAAATTTTAATAAATATTTTTAAATAGTAATAATCATATTATTTATTTAATATTATTTCATGATCAACATTTTAATTTTAATAATCAATGGATAAAAATTTAACGAGAATATTAAAATTATAAATTTTATAAAATTGAGAGACTAGAAATATGTAATTAAAAATTAAAAGATCAAAAATTATATATTTCATATTATAAGAGAATTTATAAAAGATTATTTACTATATAATGTTTTAAAATTTTGAACGGGAAATATTTTTGCACCATTTGTTACTATTTGCATTATTCTTTAAATGATGTTGTTTGTTGTTGTGTATGTGTATTTTATTCTAATGTTAAATGGAAAAATACTAAATGTCACTAGACTTTTGTTGTATAAATATTATGAGACTTTTTCTTCCACGGTTTTTCATGAATTACAGGATGATTGGTGAATCACTTCTAATTATCTCATTGGTACACTTTTGTGATTTCATTCTCGTTGCAATATGTTGTAGTGAAAATGTTAAATAATAAATATGTTTACGCTGGGTGACATTTAAAATATGAATGGCTTGCTCGGGATAATATTAATTGCAATATAAGACTGTTTAGGCACTTGAGCAATTATTAAATGCTGAAATTACCATTTCTGCAAACGATGCTAAGGATGGAAGAACATACCATGTGACAAATTAAGTACTTGTTCGACATGACATTTAGTTTAACTGTGGGGACATATGACTGTAGATATGGTGCATATATCATTGAATATATGTGTAACAATGTTAGTTACATCATTCCAAACTTAACCAATGATGAGTAGAAAATGAACCAAGTTTGTGTTTTGTCGATTAATAATTACTAGCACGTTATTGGACTTGTTAACCAAGTTTTATGTTACACGTTGTACATTACTGTTGCTCAATTGTTCATTTATCATGATTAATTGATCATTCATCATCACCCTGAATATATATTTTTTCGCCACTTCATTTGTTACTTTTTTATTTTCTTCCTTCACATGCTACACCTCTTACCTCTAATGGTTTGATTTATATAAAATGTCATTGTTAGCTAAAAGAATGCAAAAAAGTAGACGACGTAGCCCTGAATGTTTCAGGGTTTCCATGTCTCCTCAGAGTCCTTACACGTGTAAGCCATGCATACACGTACAAAATTATCCTTTCGGCAATCACCTTCACACTATTATTTGAAGGGGAAAGTAGCTACCTTGGACATCATCTTCATTTCATCACAACCTTTCCCTAGAAGCAAAAGCAGAAACAACATTAATTTGACCACCCCCTCTTACTCCTCAGGTAATTTATTTGATCGATAATGGTTTATAATCTCTACGTATAGTATTTAGAGATGAAAAATTGAAATCCTTTTGATTCAACTATGCACTTTAATTTGGTGGTGTAGATGTTTACAATGCATATTGTGAATGATGTAGTCCAGTGGAGAAGTATAAGAATTAAATGCAACCATTATTGTAGCGGCAACATATAACATGGGTGTTGATGGAAGTATGTGGATTCAACTTCCTATTTGTTATATCTCCAGAGTGGCCATACTCCTTGTTGCTTCAATCACTAGTACAAAAATGACTTTTAAAATTGGGGTTTCAAAATCGGTCATAAAACAACCGATTTTAAAAGTAACGCGGTGACAATTTTGTAAATAATGACATTACTTTTAAAATCGGCTACGTTATGACCGATTTTAAAAGTCTCTGATGCTACTTTTAAAATCGGCTCTTGAACAGCTGATTTTAAAAGTATCACTTTTAAAATCGGTTATTGAACAGTCGATTTTAAAAGTAGCATCAGAGACTTAATCTATACTATCTCTGCTCCCATTCTCCCCCTAACTCCATTCTCTACTCTTTGGCTTCAATAGTTCATATATTCTTCTCTTTACTCTCTCGGGCTCTCATCTGAAGTGTGCAGCTTCTCATTTTCTCGGAAGAATACAACATCAAGGTAACATTCTCGTCTCATATCTCTTATTTCGTTATTACTGAGCGAATTTTGAGTCTGGAACGGTCCCAGAACGGCCCGTTCTGCAAGCAGAATAGCCTGTACTGCAAGTAAAACGGGCCGTACTGCAAGCAGAACGGACTGTACTGCAAGCAGAACGGCTGTGCTGCTTGCAGAACGGGCCGTTCTGGGGTCGTTCTGGGGTCGTTCCAGACTAAAGTTTTAGACATTTTTCAGGTGAGTTCATGTGCACAGGGTGATTTTCATTATCTAACAAGGAGGATTTTGCAGGTGACTATTCTTGAAAATGTATACTGGAAGGAATTTGGACTTCTTGTATTTGTTTGGGTTTCATTCCTTGTACTACAGATTGCCAAGGTTTGCTTTTTCATATCTATTGCTAAGTAATAATTCACACCATAAAGTTTATCTAACTCGAGACCAATAATCTCCCATTGACAGGAAACCTACACGAGTACTTGTTCAATGTTATATTGGGTACTGAACTTGTTACAGGTAATTTGGTTACTCTCATACAAGTGTTTGCTTTTGTTGATTGCTCATGACATGACATAGTGCTTATGTTAAATGTAGATCTGAGTGTCTGTTACAATAATATCTGGAAAGCGTTTCAACTTTGAAGCATGTTTTCTATATATGTATCATGCAAGTTCCAATCTCAATTGGGGAAACTGCATATGAGGTAGCTGCATTGTTCTAAATTTTAAGTTTCCATTTTATCATGTTTTAAGAGTTACTTCTAATTGTTCTAAATTTTCTTAACAGATATTTATAGATCGATCACCATTGTTGCTAGAAGATATAAACACCATTAGGGAGTAATGGGCTACATTTTTCATTGAAACATTGGCTAGCTACGAGTTATGTTTATAGTTTTACTCATTTTGTAGTTTAGGATGCATCATAATTTGTAAGTTACTTTGATTACATATATGGTTGACATTTACTAACTCTTGTCATTTGTATATAATTTGGTATATTAAAAACATATGAATTGTCTAGTATTTTATTAATTTGCAGGTTGATGTTAAAAGTTAGACTTTTAATATCGGTCATGCCATGACCGATTTTAAAAGTCTCACTTTTAACATCGGTCACTGTTGACCGATTTTAAAAGTCTCACTTTTAACATCGGTCAGCAACTGATATTAAAAGTCTCATTTTTTTAAATCGGCTCTTTTAAAATCGGTCAGAGAACCGATTTTAAAAGTAAAAAATGGTCGATTTTAAAAGTGTTTTTTTCACTAGTGAATATCAATTCATGTATGCTAATATGCTTACAAGTGAGCACCCTTCATTGGTTTCTGTGCTTCTAATGTAAAATTTTGTGTTAATTGTTATATGGAAGATTCTTCCTCATCACCTACCCATAGTAACTAGCTATTTTTAGGGAGTCATCCAACTTATTGAGGTTAGAATTGACGGAAGAAATAACTACAAGTGTGTTTGGAAATTAAAAAGTTGAGTCGAACGTAATCCACTTTTCCCTTGAACCATATTGTTTTAGTATGCATATAAAAGTCTCACGGTTCGGGTTGGAGTGCAAGCACCCAATATTTTGATGTGCAAGTACATCAGTGGGAATGACAGTTTCATTAACTTGAGTGAAGAATATTAGATTAAGAACAAGCACTAATACAAAAAGAATAATTTATGTCGGTTATTTTAAGCTTTTTACGTCAGAAAAAGATTCGACGTTAATGCGGGAGACATAAATTTACGTCAGACATTCACAAGAGCCGATGTAAAAAGGTTGTAAATAAAAAAATATATATAACGAGTGCAAGCAAAACGGACCGTTCTGCTTGGAAAACGGCCTGTTCTCCTTGGAGATCCACTTGAACGCGAAGAATTTTTTCCTTGATATTAACTAATATATTAACAAAGGATGATCCACCCAAACGCGAAGAAGAGGATAATATTAACTAATATATTAATAGATCAATACATACATTTATTTTCAACAAATTAGCTAATATATTAAGAAAGGATTTTTCAAACTAACCTCAAACGTGAGCTCAATGCAATCGGTCAAAAAGTCAAGAATCACCCAAACACTCAAACGTACACTCAGATGCAATACACTCAAACGAAATGTTAACTCAGAAGACTCGATTTGCACATACACTCAAAGCTCTGTTGTTTAAATATTGACGCGCGCGCGAAGAAATTTGAAATTTATAGATATTTTACGTTGGACCTCATAGGGGCTGGTGTAAATTGGAAAATCTACGTCGGACACAAGCTATATCCGACGCAGATTTTCAAATTTACGTCAGCTCCTATGAGATTCGACATAAAAAATTGATTATAATTATAAAAATGCCACTGCATTTTTTTAACGTCAAATTTTCTTTATCCGATAAGAATACAGTAATGTAAACGTCATATTTTGTACTATTGATCTTCACTATGTAACGACCCGGCTGGTCACTACACACACACCACTGTACACCGGAAACGCCAGACAGAAAGGACAAGTATATAAATATAGGATCTAATATAAATATATACAAAGTCTCTATCCGACTAGAGTTAGAGTGTACAACACAAAGTCCAATCAATGCTACTATCCCAAGTAGCTACATAACAAAATAGTCACAAAAACGATCAGCTCTACTGGTCCACCGAAGACTCATCCTTAGACGCCCACCTATCCCTGCTCTGCTCCCATACATAGTATGATCATCGCAGTCCAATATCATGGAGACAACAAAAGGGTAAGCTAGTGTAATTAAAATTCAACATACAAATATATATATATATCAATATAAATAAACAACAGATACAATTATCAGCACACTTATACAGCTTATACCACTCAACAATATCAGCACCGCAATGCGGCAATATCAGCACTGCCTTAGCGGTTAGAATCAGCACCACATATGTGGCTAACAACAGCACCGACTTAGCGGCTATAATATCCCCCAACTCAGCACAACCCAGCACAGCACAACACAGCACTTCAACACATCAATCAACTTAACAAAATTCATTTAAAGTACCACATTATTTAGCCATAACAGCACACATCTTCAGCATACAACTCATCGATCTTACAGCATAATCAGCAATCAGCACACAATGCGTCGTCACGCATATCAACTCGGAGATCTCCTACAGCAACTCAGCCATTATGGCCTACAACAACTCAGCCTTTCGGCCTACAACAACTCAGCCATTATGGCCTACAACAACTCAGCCATTATGGCCTACAACAACTCAGCCTTTTGGCCTACAACAACTCAGCCATTATGGCCTACAACAACTCAGCCATTATGGCCTACAACAACTCATATCAACATTCAACACAACACAACTTTTGCAACTCAACATATCAACTTGCAACACAACACAACTGGACAACTCAACATCAACTTTCAACACAACTCAACTGTACAACTCAACATCAATCAACCAACATCATCCATTAGTCATCACATTATATTCGTCTACAACTCAACTAAGCATAAAACAACATTAACCAACATATATAAATTTCTCATCTCCGCGCCCGGCGCACTCATGGTCGCGCCCAGCGCGGTACAACCAGAGAGCACCAGGGGCTAGCGCGCCCAGCGCAGGTATGCCTGCGCCTGGCGGGACTCAGCCAGAGAGCCCAAGGCTCACACGCGCCCAGCGCATGCCAGGCAGAGACTCCCAGGAGTCTCGCGCGACCGGCGTGCCCATACCCGCGCCCAGCGCGGGGAAGGCAGAGACCTCCCCTTGGTCTCGCGCCCAACGCAATTCAAATTGCGCCCAGCGCCCACAGGGCAGGTACTCCCAAGGAGTCTCACGCCCAGCGTGACAAGGGCCGCGCTCAGCGCAATGCATCAATATCAGCATATACATATATATCCATTATAGCGTGACATTTCATCATCAACAACATAAAATAGCATGATCAACAATTTCACAACGTACGACATGTTCAACACATACTCCGACCCAATCCTCTTATTTACAACTCATCTATCTTGTCAAATTACCCACCCAAACAACACCAATCAACCTAAGCACCTAAAACAACTTTAAACTTAACCAAATCACTAAATGGAAAATGGCAACCTTCACAGAAAATAACACATCATGAGTTATACTACTCCTATCATGCTCATCCTTATCTCATATGAAAGATAATCAAATTTCCTACAACTCTCATGAAGACACCAAGTCCTAATTCTTTCATCTACCTTGTTAAAAATTCTAAAAACCGCAACAGCTATACGTAATGCTGGCAGCTTGACCTCTCTTCACTAAAACAGCCATAACTGGAGTTCTAAAACTCCTTTTTGGGTGATTCCAGCGCCATTGGAAAGCTAACATCCAAGGCTACAACTTTCATGAAGACTATGAAGTCAATTTCGGAACTTCAAATGCGCGCTCAGCGCGTTCAAGTTCGCGCTCAGCGCGTCTCAACCAGAGACCTACAGAGGTCTATTGCGCCCAGCGCGGTTCTCCCCGCGCTCAGCGCGATTCACCCAGTGAGTCCCCATTTCAAGTCGCGCTCAGCGCGAAGAACTGCGCTCAGCGCGAATTCAAACAGCAACTCTCCCCAGTTCGAAAATTTCACCCAAAAACCTGCAAAATCAACTTCCCAGGCACATGCAATCGGTCCAAAGCATCACATTTCCATCCAAGAACCCAAAAATACTACCTTTTTCAACATGCAACAACAAATCACGGATTTCCCCAAATTTTCTCAAAAACCCCGAAACCCCCAAAAACAGGTTCTCATTCAACACAGCCACGAATCAACCATCCATAAGCATCTAATGAGTTTCTAGAACTCATCCACAGCCAAAAACAGCGACAAAAGAAAGAAAATTACTAGCTTCCCTTACCTTGATGCGAAAATCCGAGCTTTGGGACCACGGAGATCGGAGAAGAAGAGGAAACTTGAAAACGAACGGAGAAGAGAGACAATCTTCAGCTAGGTCTGCCTAAGCTTGGTCAACACCTTCAGTCCAAGGTCACCCCAAAGAAGAAAACCAGCAACAAGAAAAAGGAGAGGGTGAGAGTGAGAGTGAGTTGAGAAGAAGAAAATGAGTAAGGGGTTCACGGGTCTCACATACTAGGCTTGGGGAGTGGTTGAAGAAGAAACACGAAATTATTATTGATGAGAAGACTAAAAGCATAATAGCGAAGGAGAAAAAATAGAGTAATTTGCATTTGTAGTTGTTACTTTTAGGATATAAATTATGTGCGCTACAATACAATATTGATTAATAAACTAATGTTAAAATATTCCTATTTATTGTGTTTTGCAATTTTATTTTTTGAGAAATGTGTTTTGTAATGGTTTTCATTTTTTTTGACACCTGTGTTTTGTAATGTTAATATGTTATCAATGGAACAATCGGGACTCAACAGTAATTTATGTTTGAAGATCTAAAATGTTATTTCCCATAATTGATTTTTAATCTTAATTGTTCTTTATGTTTTAAGATTATTGATATTTTATAAATTTAAGTCTCATTAATTATTTTGTCTACTATACTTCTATATATTTAATAATCATATCTTGGTCTTACTCTATAATTACTCTTATAACATATATTAAATTAAAATATTTTACCTTAAATATTAAATATTTATTCTAGTTTAGATATTTATTTGAGGAATGCACATGTTCATGTGTTCAAACTCGGTTATTAACATTGTAATTTCTATGAATAAAAAAATATAATTTTATTTAATAGTCATAATTTTTTATACATTAATAATCATATATTACTCTACAATTAGTCTTATATATTGTGTTTGATAAGGAGAAAATAAATTAAAATAAAACAGGAAAAATA